GAATGAGAAAAAAAATTTATTCTTCAACTCAACAAGTCCTGGGTTGGAAATGTTTTCTGTAAATTCCACTTGAAAACAGAATAGTTCTCTCTTTACTAAGTATCATTTAATGATACCTTAGGCTATATAGATATAAGAAGCCAAATGACATACTCAAAACTCAACCTGGAAACCTGCTTAATTAGAACCACAAATTCATTAAGTACATTTTCTACCTTTATATTCCTGTGCATGATGGTTTTTTCCCTTCAACTTAGCAGTGGGTATCCTTTTTCAGCCTCCACTAATTTTCTCACTACTTTTCTGACCTACAGAAGTTGTTCTTCCATTTTCACCTGCAGCCCAGGTACTGGCAGGACCTCTTTCCATCCCCTTCCTAATCTCTCATCCTTCAGAGTTTTTTCTCTCTCCAGGTTGTCTCACACTCTCCAGGAGAGTACATGGACTTTACACAGAGGCTGGTTTTTCCCTCTGATCAAAAGCAGGGCTGTGTAACCTCGGTTGGCCTGGGATAAAAACCCCTAGACTGCTATTTCTGCTGCATTTTGTTAGCTAAAGAAAGTACCAAGGTCAGACTCAACACAACTTATCTTGATGACAGAAGCAGCATGAATGTATAGGTATGCAAAAATCATTGGTCACTACAGTGGTTTGAAGAGTGGCTCCAAAAAGATACACTCATCTCCTAATATCTGCAACCTCTGAATGTTATCTTATTTGAGAAAACGGTCTTTGCAAATGCATGTTAAGGATCTTGAGTTGAGAGTACTAGCTTGTATTATCCAAGTGGGCCTAATCCAATTACACATGTTCTTCTAAGAGACACACAAAGAAGAAATACACAAATGGGAGAAGAAAAGGCCATGTAGATGCAGTCACAAGCCAAGGAATGCTGGCAGCCACCACATATTGAAAGACATGAGGAACAGACTCTCCTAGAACCTCCGAAGGAACCTCTGAAGTTGCTCCCAGTAACACCTTATTTTTGGACTTCTGGCCTCCAACATGAGACAATAAATTTCTGTTGCTTTGAACTGCTAAGTGTGTGGTACTTGGGTATGGTAATCACAGGAAGCTTTGTTTGAAGTCAATCTAATACATTCTGCTTACATTGTTTTTAATGCTTAAGCAATGAAAGGAAGCTATTCATATAATTTTGCTTCAATATACATAGAGCAACCATTTATTAATAACTTTTTAGAAAAAATGCTTTTGAAAATAAGTTTTAAATTAATCACTTTATAGGTCAATTAATATAAGGAAAAACAAATTACATTTCATAAGTGAATATTTTTAAAAACCTATACTATTGTCCCAGTATACTTTTTTTTTATTTCATAGTCACCATACAAGTAACCATTTAATGCACTGATTTTTGTGATGATAGAAATGTTTCAGGTCTGTCAGTCCAAAGCTGTAACCACTAGACACCTGTGACTATTGAATACTTAAAATAAGTTTTATATGATTCAATGATTGAATTTTAAATTTTATATCAATTAATTTAAATTTAGCCAAATGTGACTCATGGCTACTGTATTGGAGAGTACAGGTCTAAAAAATCTTCTAACAAGTTAATTGCTACACAATTCTTCTCTTCCAACAGAGTTAGAAAGAACACAATTATGTTGCCCATAGATAGAATGAATCAGTTTTGGTAACCACCTATGGCTACATGGCAAGAAACTCAGGTCATACTCCCATTAGATTAATAGGTCAAGGAAGGTTTATTAAATGTACATTTAGAAATGTGAGCAGCCTATAAGGAAACCTCAAAGATAGTGCAGTACCCTGGGAACGCAATACGAAGGTTATTACCATCTTTGGGCCTTAAAGGATAACAAAAGGAAAGTTTACCAGAACCCAGAAGGAGACAGCTGATGTCGGGAGGGTCATCCTGAAATGAAAAGTAAATTTGCATGGAGTAGCTGGGAGAATAAGTTGACTTCTCTTCTCTCTCTCTCTGATCTCCTTCCAAGGAATTCTCATTGGTCAAATCCAGTTGGCAGCAAAATGGCAAGCACATTGATGTAGTCCATATAGGTCAGTCTCCAGGCAGAAAGTAAGGTAGAAGAGGGTGGCATAAATCTAGAAGGATAAGAAGCAGAAGAGAAGATATCCAGCAGAAAAAAAAATTAAAATGAAATCAACTTTGCATCATACATGTGTTTTGGCATCCATACCGGCTGAAATTCAAAGAATTGAGTGATATTCCTATAATTAAACTCATTCTGTTCTGTTTACTTATTTATCTTGTCTCATTTGAGCAGTAAATAATTCATCCAAAGGCCCATGAACTGAGCGGGATGGAAATCTCCATTCATTTCAGATGTTTTCCAAAAGAATGATTAGAATTAGCAAATATTTAGTGTATTTATGACATTTAAATAAATGGGTTATAATAATTATAATTTAATCCAGGAGAAAAATTTTCAGTTTTGATAGCATATAGTCAAAGAGGAGTAGATACATAAGTTCAAAGAAAAAAAAAAAAAACAAGAAATAAAAGTTCTGACTTTTCTGGGTTTTTTTCTGTGAAAATGAAAATATGTAAATGAATGGAGACAGGCATAAAATTATTATGGTTAAGTCAGATGCAGTGTAGGGAATTCTAGAAGTCTGTCCCACTCTAAAAGCAATGAGTAAAGTGGAGAATCTGTCAAAATCAACTTTCTTGGAACTCTGAAATTTAATCAAAAGCTGACAATAATTGGGGGAACACAATCAAGCAAAAGTAACTGAATCTCAACAGATAGCCAGCACTTCCTCCCTGGGTACATACCTAAGAAAATTGAAAATGTATGTTTACATAAAAACATGTATGTGAACCTTCATACTAGCATTATCAAGAAGTAAAAGTGGATACAAGTCAAACATCCCTCAACAGATCTGTAGATAAAATTAGGCATATTACTGAGTAATTAGGCATATTACTCAGAGATAAAAAGGGATGATGTATTCATACACTCTGCAATATAAGTGAACCTTGAAAACGTATTTTAAGTCAAGGAAAGCAGCCAGAAAAGACCATGTATTGTATTATCTCGATTATATGAAGTGTCCAGCACAGACAACATCTAAAGCAGATTAGAGGCTGCCATGGGTTGAGGGACAGGAAAATGGGAGGACTGCTTAAGGGCCATGGGGTTTCTTGAAAATGTTGGAATTTTTGGAACTAGTTAAGGTGAGAGTTGCACAACATTGTGAAGTACTAAAAGCCATTGACTGATACTTTAAAATGGTTTAAATGATTAATTATATGAATTTTACTTCAATTAGAAAAGAACTATGATGTTTAGCTTCCATTGAATACATTTACAATGTGATATATTTTTATTTGAAACTATTGTGAAAGGTTAATTTGTAGGTACTACTTTATACTTAGATAGGAGTAAGAAGTGTTGAAGTTCAATTGCACAGTAGGATGAGTATAGAAAACATTAATGTATTATGTATTTTCTATTTTAAAAAATCTAGAAGATAGGATTTTGAATGCTTTTACTGTGAAGATATGTTAATTGCCTAAAAAGATAAATACATTTACCTGATTGGATATTATACAATGTATATTTGTAACAAAACATCATGTAGTACCTCTAAATACACAATTTTATATATTTGTCAACATTTCTTAACTCAAAACAAAATAAAAAAGAAAATGTTATTACTTTCAATATCCTTACAAGTATAATTTTTTCTAATTATTTAAACCAGAATGAAAAAATTTAGATGCTACTTTAAAAATGTGTGGTAGGGTAGGTTGAGTCAAAGGAGATACTGATCATTGACAGTTTTGCACCCACAAAAAAATGAAAATTTCCTATGACTCAACTTAGTAGATTTTCAAATTTTCTAAAAAGTACATGAGCAAATAAGCCTAAAAGCTACTGTTACAAAGGACATAAGAAAGGAGGTAAATTAGCACCTACTGAATCGGTGTGGATTCGGGGGGGCTATGCTTTGAGTGAGTGAGGATTTCCAGAGGGAGTGAATGGAAGCATAAGCAGAGTTAATGACAGACAGCTTAAGGAGCTCTCTGGCTTTGGGGCCAGGCAGCTTGGGTTCAAATATCCTGTCACACATTTGCTATGGGACTCAGGCAAGTTCATGAAGTTCTGCGCCTCTGCTTCTTGAACTGTTAAGGGATATGATACTGGTACTTACCTCACAGGATTATTTTGAGGATTAAATGACCTAAAGTAGGGAAAGAGTTTAACAACAATTCTATGTAAGTATGCACTGTATCAGTCAGTCATTGCCATGATGATACTACAAACACAAAATCCTTCTTGCCTACAAAAACAAATATTTCTCACTCTGCACCCATGGACTTGGGCTGCAGGCTGGGTTCAGGTCAGTTCCAAGAGTCTCATCCTTCTTGAACCAACAGCTAACCAAGACGTGTTCTTCTCATGGCAAAGGACACAGGAGATGGTAATTTCTTTCTTTCTTATTTATTTATTTATTTATTTGCAAGTCAGAGTTACACAGAGAGAAGACAGGCAGAGAGAGAGGGAGAGGGAGAGAGAGAGAGGTCCTCCATCTGATGGTTCACTCCCCAAGTGGCCGAAACAGCCGGAGCTGCGCTGATCCGAAGCCAGGAGCCAGGAGCTTCAGAGTCTCTCACGTGGGTGCAGGGGCCAAGGACTTGGGCCATCTTCTATTGCTTTCCCAGGCCATAGCAGAGAGCTGGATTGGAAGTGGAGCAGCCGGGTCTCGAACCGGCGCCCATATGGGATGCCGGCGCCTTAGGCCAGGGCGTTAACCCACTGCGCCACAGCACCGGCCCTGGTAATTTCTTTCTTTGAAGTAACATTTTATTTCTTATTTTAAGTCTTCTTTTTTATATGCCTTTCTAAATTCTTCTACCTTTATTGTAATTTCAATAGATAATGCATTTTTATCCATTTAAAAAAATTCCTTGGTCATAAAGTGAATGCATGGTGCAGTCACAAACATTGGTGTTCTCCAGGCTTTGAAACAGTCTGCCTCTTGTGCAGCAAACAACATGAATGCCATACAACATGGGCAAAGAGAAATGGAGAAATAAACATCATTTCCTTGCATTCAGAATTGACTATAATTTCCTCTCCCCATCTTTTGACATGACAATCCTGTGTACTGTGTGAGCAATTTTGTAGCATCTACTCAGAAGAATAATGTTGAAAAGACACCGCCTCCGCTGCTGAGAGCCCTATCTTGCTGCTGGTACGGGAGGCGTGCTTTGGGGGAAATTCACATCTCCTCCCAAGCCCGGCCTGTATATTTTATTATCAGAAGTCAGTAAAGTGTTCATTTTACTTTCTTCTGCTTTCTGGTGAGTAAACAATGGAAAATTGCTTGGATAAAGAGATTTAATGGGCGAGATTGATGTTTTACACCTTTGCAGATGAATTTATAAACTTAGGGTACAAGCTACCAACTCTTCCCTCCTGAATAGTCTGCTTAGCTTGCAAGATTTTGATGATACAGTAAATAAAAATTCACATTTTTTTCCATCTAGTAGTGCTACAGATAGGGTGCAGAGTTATCTTATATACCTGGCAGGTTGAAAACATCTTGAGACCAGGATCCCTACTAAACTGTACTATGGTAGAATCCTCTGGACAACAAGCAAGAGTGCACCTTTCTCAGAAATGCTTAATGTGGCTTTCAAACACTAATGAGATTATAGTTGTTTCTAGAATGACAACTCTAATTGGAGTAACTTAATGTGAATGATACAACTGGCTTTGTTGACAGCTGTCCTTGTTAACTGTGGTTGAAATGCTTTATATAATTACATCTCCTTAGAGTGATGGCACCACAGTCTCACCCTGAAATAGCACCTGTAATGTCACGGCAAGTCCTAGTTATTACTCTTCCCTCTGAGATTTGAATAGAAATCATTATGTCCCTACAGTCACATGTTTGGCTTCTCGGGTTCAAGGAATGTGTGTGTGAGCCCTGTGCTCCCTTAGAATTGCTAGTGACATGAGAAAATTCTCAGGGGAGGTTCTTATAATTCCTAAGTGAAAAAGAAATATAATAGAAAACTGTTGGAATAGTGTCATTGCAACTGAGCCAAAAATAGAGACAGTTATTTGGAAAGAAGTACAGCAAGTGTTAATAATATGTTTGGGAGATTATTATTCCCTTCTTGTGTTTTTCTGTATTTATGAACAATTTTCAATTACTTTTAGAACTTGGAATGTTCCTAAAAATCAAAAGATGTAGCACCCACTGCCCCATTCCGTTCTTGAAATCTGCTGGGACAATACCATTTATACATTAAACAGAAGCTGTAACAGGGACTCTTCCAGGCTTCCCAGAATTTCTATCTCCTGTCATCTCATCCACTTTCTTAGTGTCCTCAGTCAATGTCATAATTTCAACCACTGATTCTAAGTACGTGAACACCTCAGTGCTAGCTCTCTAGCCATTTCTTTGATCTTCTTTTCTAGTCCTACAACACTGCCTGCCTGCCAGGTAACTCCACAGTTATAGGTCAGTACTCTGTGTGTGTGTGTGTGTGTGTGTGTGTATACACATATGTTGTAAGAATATTTATGTATATATATATATGTATATATATGTTGTAAGTACACTGTATATACCCCACAACCATCTCATAGAATTGTCTTCCTGCGTATGCTTATCCTCTTGCTGTCTCTCTACCCGACACCACTGTGTCTTAGTCTTTAAGAAGGGCAAACTCACTGTTGCCGTTACTTCTCTGTATCTCTCACATGCAAACAGCTATTATCATAGTCTAACTTCAGGGGCGGGTGTTCAGCACAGCTCCACTTGGGACACTTGCATCTCATATTAGAGTGCATGGGTTTGAGTCCCAGCTCTGATCCTGGCTTCCAGCTTCCTCAGAAGGTACACCATGAGAGGCAGCAGGGGATGGCTTAAGTGGTTCGGTTTCTGTCATTCCCGTCACCCAGATGGGAGACTCATATTGATTCCTGGCTCCTGGCTTCATCCTGGCCCAACCCAGTTGTTAGGGGCATTTGGAGAGTGAACCAGCAGATGGGCAATCTCTGTCTCTCTCTGCCGTTCAAATAAATAAATAAGATAATTAATTTTTTAAAAAGAGGTTTATATCTCCATATTCTATCTTAATAATGTTGCTTGCATGTAACTGCTTCTTTCCATTCCCACTGGCAATATCCCATTTATACCCCTTACGTGGACAAGCGCATTCTGCTTGCTAAGCACTTTACATTTTAATTCTCACAGCAGCCCTATAAGATAGATACTATTATCACTCTACTGTACAGTTACTTGCCCTAGGTCCAAGCTTAGAAGCAATGCTGAGATTTGAATCTTGGCCTCCACTACCATAGACTACACTTGTAACTTCCTGCCACACAGCCTCCAGATCAATGATGGTCACAATAACTTCCCCTTAATTCTTGCTACAATCTTAAGAAAGACATAGGATTTTCCTATATTAAGGATTTAGAAATCAAGGCTCAAAGACAAGAACAGAAACAACTCATGAGTTAAGTCTGCCAATTCTCCCACCTATCGCCATCACAAGTATCTTCTGACTGTCCCATTCTGCTTATTCCTTTAAAAAGCAAAAAGAAAGGAAGAAAGGAAAAATAAATAAAAATCAATGTCCCCTGTTGCCTAAGGAATCAATTCCAGACTGTTTAGTTGGGCATTCAGTGGCTCCCCATTTGGCATCTGCTCACTTTCAGCCTTGTTCTCCCCTCTTCACTCCAGCTGGACAAGTCTCCTGCCTACCACTTGGCTGTGTTCACTCCTCAATATCCATCCCAATGCCATGGTTGCCCTCTCCCTTAAAAAGGTGCAGCTGGAGTTTCAGCCAGTTGAGAAGCATGGATTACATACATTCTAAGGACTTCGCTGCTATTAGGCAGTCTCTGGACAGACCAAAACCATTTAGTTTCTCCAAAGTGCAAAAACTAGGCCTAACAGAACTATCCTGTTGCTTTCTCTCCTGCTATGGTGCCCCATGATGAAGGTTATCAGTTCAAGTAATAAAATAAAAAGAGAATTTTTTGTGAGCAGAGTAGAGGTAAGAAACAGAATCGATGTCCTTGAGCTATTAACCCTGAGAATAATGGCTTGGATAGTCCCAGCCTAGACGCCTCTTATGCCCAGATGGCTCTTTAATATTGGCCTTCTGCCATGGGCTAGAGCAAAGACTCCAATCTCCTCCTGCTCTTCCTAGTTTCCTTCCTCTTCCTCTTTTTCTTTATCACAAACTCTTTCATGCAAAGAAGTCTTACCAGTACGCACCACGTAAATAATGGATTAAAACAGAGCAGCTCTGCTGGGGGGGGGGGGGGCAGAGCCTGAAGCCTTCTTCATTTTCCCTCACTTATCCCATTGCCCTCCCTGCACTGAGGAATTCTGCAAGGACCAGTTCTCAAAGGCCGTGCAGGTGGAGTGTGCGTGGGCTGACTTGCATGCCTGTGCAGAGGCGAGAGGGATAGAACAATGGTTCTAGTGTTCATAAATATTCCACATGCTAAAACCCCCTCCCCAATTTTTTCTAAACTCCTTGCTGTTATATTCTATGCTCCCTAGAAGTTACATTGACTTGTAATCTAATAAACACCTGTGTAATGCTTGTGGGGCTGCTTTCACACAGCGAGGACTCAGAAAGATGGGAGCACTTGAGCAAGTTTGTGAAAAATGAAAGTTTAATTGGGCACAAAAGTTTGAAATCCAAGCATATGAGGGGGTCTTCAAAAAATGCATGGAAAACGTATACCATGAAAAAATCTACTCAAGGATTTCAGTTTCTTTGCACCACAATAAATGTACCTTTTCATTCCATTTCCACAAACTCTTGAAAGCACCCTTGTGGACCCACAAAACTGTATTGACTGTCATTTCTGGACGATGACTGGGAATTCCAAGGGTAATTTTGAACTCAGCTGCTTACTTTAAAAACAACCCCTTCACAAACTGTGACTTCAGTGTATTTGTATTTGATTTTGCTGTAAAGGACAATCTCTGAGGTGGCAGGGTAGCAGAGAGGTGCTCGCTTTAGGGGGAACGGGCAGAGTACTTCCCTTCTCAACTCGCTCATGGGCTGGGCCGAATGCCACGTGCAGAGGGAGGCTGAATGACAAGTCCTCCACGGTCCCTTCCTACTAAACACCGAATGGGTGTATGACTGTTCATTCATTTGGAGGTCAGGAAACTAAAATTAGGAAGGAGTTTTAGCAGAGTTGCCCTTCCTAACAAGGAGGATATCGGGGCTTCCCTTGAAAGACTGCTAGCTTTTAGGGACCAGGCAAGGAAAGGGCATCATTCTAAAGGGGAAAAATCAAATGCCAAAGATGTGAAGAGGCTGGGAGGAAGAGGGGAGTGAAGGGGGGGAGCTGATGCTGAGGAAGAAAAAGGAAATAAAATAGAAAAGAGGCGCATGAGGGAATAGCAGAAGTTGAACTGTGTTTGAGGCAGTGGTGAGCTTAGCAAAACCCTGACAGCTGTTCATACATTATCTGATACATTTGACAGTTGCCTAAGGACATGTGCGCTCTGGAGCAGCTCTGAAGTACAAGGAGGTGGAAGAGCTTGCGCTGTGTTATAGCTTCTTCCCCAGTGCATGGAGGCACTGGGCTCCTCTAGTCACTGGGAGCAGGCGGCAGGGGGCGACTGCCAATCAGATCTCCCGACACATCCACCCGTCCGTCCTCTGCTAGGTGTCTCTCCTCTCTGTATTCTGATGAAAAGGTCAATACAAAATAAGTAAACACCCTAAAGCCAGAACGTGGCATTTTAAAGACTATGTTTCACTACAGCAGTGAAAGGGAACTTTAAAAAACATAAAAAAAAATCCTTTCTTTGTTAGTGGATTAATGATGTGGTACCAATTCATTTACTAAGAAACTGAAGCACTGGGGACAAGCCAGCCATGGAATTGTTCCCACAGGGCCCTCAAGTGATTGTCCATTTTGTAACTCTACCAGTATAATTTTACAGTATAAATTATATTATACAGTATACATAAATTACAATGCAAAACCCTTAAAAGGATGATTTGTAGCAGTGTCCAGCTTACAGTGATGATGTGCCTGAGAACACCAGCCCTACATGAGCCCTATGGACACTATGGCAGGTGGCCAGACAGTATCAGGGTGGCCCCATCAGCAACCCAAAAGGTGGGATGGCAGTAGACAGTTTGTATGTATGGTGCTATTGGGTTACAGTTGTGTAGCCAATTACAACAATGTATAAAACTGTATTCTCACTTTATTCCTCATACACATGCAATTAAAAGAGGGTGGGAAAGAAGCAAAGATTGTATTCAGAAAACTGGAAGTAGAACAAAATATGTTTCAATCAACTTGTACTTGTGTGGTAAAAGAGATCTCAAATCCTGAAATAAGTCCCAAGATGCTTCTCCTGCCATCCAGTTGTCTGGGTGTGAGGTCCGGTTCGAGAACTCATCATGTAGATGATGAGACGCTCAGGACAACCAGGGGACAATAAATTATACTTGCTCTGAAAAACAGACAAATGATTTCTGTGGTAGCCATACCTGGTGCCATACATTTACCTCCCGTGCAGACAGCTCCCTCTCTTTGAATACTATTACTTTATAATCACTCTGAATTTATTTCAAATAAAATTTCCAAGATATTGTTGTTTTCCTTGCTTTCTTTAAAAGTGTTTATCCACATGGGATTTAGATGGGATGGGGGTGGGGACTCACTCAAGACCAGGGAAAAGGCCTGAACACAGACGTCACAGACTCTCTTGTGGTCACGGCTGCGAGAGACCCCAAGACGAGCACCCAGGCTAGAGCAGCTGGACTCTCTCGGACAACAGTGGGAGGTCACGGAGACACGTCTGGGTGAGGCCACCATGCAGCTACACGGAGGTGACACGTTCTGTGCTTCATTTCTGCCCTTTCTTCTCCCTCTCACTTCGGTCCTTTCCTCATTCTTTCCCCAAACATTTTAAGGTCCACAACAATCCATGTCCAAAGACCTTCTTCTGAGCCACTGCCAAGTCAAGTGGTGGCCACGGCGACTGGCTCTAGGAAATAAGAATGGAGCCAGCGGCATCACTTCATCCTCAGCTTGAAGTATTGCATGGAGTGTACCGGGAAAGCCACAGGGCGTCAGGTCCCTGGGGAATTTAGCTACAAGGACAATTTTCTCCTCGGCTTGGAAAAATAGGACACACAGAGGCCAAGGACTAAAAGTCTGATTTCCATAGCAACATAGGCACTGTCCCTTCTTGCTGGGGATGGAGCATGTTGAAGACCTATTCTGAGCATATATTCTCAAATAACAAGGCTTCTAAAAATACTAAATTATCCTAAATAAATGGACTATGTGATTCAAGTAAGGCCATCTCAAAACCTTGTAATAGTTCCTTCTAAAACTAAACTCCATCAGATAGCTTTTTGTTTTCCTTATGATCCCGGAGAACACCTTCACAAATAATGGAGAGATGTTTTATCCCTGGATATATTGCCACCCCAAGTCATAGCTCATCCTGAGTCTTCCTTAATCATCTTTAGATTTCTATAAGGGTCACTTGCTAAAGTTTCTTTTTAATTCTTTGGAGAAAGCAGACTGGGCTCAGCTATGGGCTTATGTCTACATTACAAATGTTAAAGGATTTATTTGCAAATAAAATATTTCCCACACATATTTGCCTGACTAAATCATAAGGCACAAAAAAGGGCCTGAATTGACAAAAATGATCATTATTAGCAAAGGGAAATCATTTCAAATATATTCATACTTACTCATACCTGCTTTTTGAACTTTGGTCCAAAAACCTTCTTGTTTTGCTTTTAGTACACTTATCTCAGAAATATGAAATGAAATAGTGGAAGTAAACAGTTCTATTTTTAAATAATGCAATTTATATCTAGTATGATCACGTGTGGTATTCTTACTTATTATGTGGAATTGCAAGTTGAAATATTTCATATTCTATATTATAAACACTAACCTATGGTTTTCTCCTACATTTTCAATAGTCACTATAATATTTTCATATTGTCATTAGCATTGATTATGCTACCATATTAGTGTTCTGCTTTATATATTTAATTAAATGTTTTCTATTTTGTATCTTGCCCTGAGGCATTTTCAACATGCAGGGGACAATTTTATAAATGGAAAAAAACAACACATAAAATGCCTGGTATGTTCCCTGTTCAATAGAACATTTAAAAATTGGAATCCTTGCCTCAAAATGTGTGTCCAGGTTAAGTAACTTTAGAAGGAAAATTAGATCCTTTAAAAATGATAAGAATGAATTAACTCCCTTATAGGGTTTGACTGATAAATTCATGAAGCCTATTCTCCTTGAAGATGGGTCCATTTTGCTTAAGAGAAAGCATTAAGGTTCATTATATGGTTATTTATAACCAATCAGAAAACAGAGATAATTTAAGTGTCCAAAAATAGGGGCTGGTTGCATAATTATGGAGCACACATTCAATGTAACCCAAAGAAGACAGGTTGGAAAACATTACTTAATAATATAGGAAAAGATTTACTATATGCTATGTGAAAAAGAAAAACAGATTGTACTGGAGTATGCATGGAATACTCCTTATTTCAAGAAAAGTTATGTGAAACAAATATTTCTCAGCAGATTCAAGGCAATATGTGACAAACCTACAGCCAGCATCATATTGAAAGGGGGGAAAAACTGAAGTGTTTCCACTAAGATAAGGAACCTGACAAGGATGCCCTTTGTCCCCATTGCTATTCAATATAGTTCTGGAATTTTTAGCCAGAGCCATTAGGCAAGAAAAAGAAATCAAAAGGATACAAATTGAAAAAGAAGAAGTCAAATTATCCCTGTTCGCAGATGACATGATGCTATATGCAGGTGAACCAAAGACTCCACTAATAGACTACTGGAACTCATAAGAGAGTTTGGTGAAGTTAGAAATCCATGAAATCAATCCATGCATCTACAACAAACTAATCTTTGACAAAGAAGCTAAAATCAATTCCTGGAGAAAGGACAGTCTCTTCAGCAGATGGTGCTGGGAAAATTGGATATATGCAGGCAGAAGTATGAAACAAGACTCCTACCTTATACTTTATACAAAAATCAACTCAAGGCACTAGAGTTGTGACAAAGCAGGTTAAGCAAATGTCTGCAGAACTGGCATCCCATATGAGTGCCAGTTCAAGTCCTGGCTGCTCTACTTCTGATCCAGATCCCTGATAATTTGTCTGGGAAATTGGCTGAGGATGGGGTTCCTGAATCCATATGAGAGACTTAGAAGACTCTCCTGGCTCCTGGCTTCAGTCTGGCCCAGCCGTGGCTGTTACAGCCCATTTTGGGAGTGAACCAGTGGACCAGTGGATGGAAGACTCTCTCTCTTTCTCTCTTCCCTCCCCCCTTCTAACTCTGCCTTTCAAATAAATAAAAGAAATCTTTAAAAACTCAAAATGGATGAAGGCTCTAAATTTACAACTGATATCATCAAATTTCTAGAGGAGAACATTGGAGAAATGCTACAAGACATTGGCAAAGGCAAAGATTTCTTGGAAAAGACCCCACAAGCACAAGCAATAAAATAAAAAATTTCAAGCTAAGAAGCTTCTGCACGGCAAGGGAAACACTCAACAAAGTAAAGAGACAATGACAGATGGGAGAAAATATTTGCAAACTATGCAACTGATAAAGGATTAATTTCCAGAATCTATAAAAGCCTAAGAAACTCAACAACAACAAAATAAACATTCCAGTTAAGAAATGTGCAAAGGACTTGAGCAGACATTTTTCAAAAGATGAAATTCAAATGGACAACAGACATGAAAAAATGCTCAGGATCACTAGCTATCAGAGAAATGGCTCACCCCAGTTAGAATGGCTTCCATACAGAAATCAACAAACAACAAATGCTTGTGAGGATGTAGGGGAAAAGGTACTCTAATCCACTGTTGATGGAAATATAAACTGGTACAGTCACTGTGGAAGACAGTATGGAGATTCCTCAGATATCTGAAAACAGATCTACCATATGACCCAGCCATTCCACTCCTGGAAATTCACCCAAATGAAATGAAATCAGCATATGAAATAGTTATCTGTACTCCCATATTCACTGCAACTCAATTCATAATCGTTAAGATATGAAATTGGGGCCAGTGCTGTGAAGTAGCTGGTAAAGCCGCCAAATGCAGTGCCAGTATCCCAGATGGGTGGCGGTTCAAGTCTCAGCTGCTCCATTTCCAATCCAGCTCCCTGCTAATACACCTAGAAAAGCAGTGGAAGATGGCCCAAATCTTTGGGCCCCTGCACCCAAATGGGAAACCCAGAATAAGCTCATGGCTGCTGGTTTCAGTCTGGCCAAGTCCTGACCATTGTAGCCATTTGGGAAATGAACCAGCAGATAGAAGATCTCTCTCTCTCTCTCTCCCTCTCTCTCTCTGTCTCTTTTTCTCTGTAATTCTGAATTTGAAATAAATAATTTTTTAAAAAGATATGGAATCAGTCCGGATGTGCATCAACCAATGACTGGATAAAGAAAATGTGGTATATATAATATACAGTATGAAATACTACTTATCTTTAAAAAAAAGAATGAAATCCTGTCTTTTGCAACAAAATGGATGCAACTGGAAACCATTATACTTAGTGAAATAAGCCAGTCCCAAAAACATAAATATCAAATGTTTTCCCTGATCTATAATAACTCATATAATACAACAAAAGTAATGTGTATCAGTGAAATTGACATTTTGAGATTTGATTATTGTTTACAGCCCTTGTCTCTATTGTTGAGGAACAGTGCTTTTTTTCTTACTATTTGTTGAATTCTTTACTTAGTGGAGGGTTAAACTTATGATTATAAAATAAATTGAAAGTATGTCATTTTAAAAATTACAAGAAAGAATAAGAAAGGAAGCAGGTAGGATAGTGGAAACATGGGTGGGAGGGAGGGCAGTGTGGGAAGTACATGAAATTTGTTCTCCTTATACAAAGAAAAATTATAAAAGAATATAAATAAATAGTGTATGTCAATATGTATGGAAAATACTGAGAAGCCATTTATACAAGGTTAATAGTGCTTCTCTTTACATGAATTAGAGATAGTTAGAAGATCATAAATCATTAATTATTAGAGTTGAATGGACTTTTCATTGTTAATTCACTGGATAAGACAGATAAGACATTCCATTTACAAACTGATCTAAATATGTGGGAGTTCTGTCGTAAATGGAACTTGTGCCTTCCTTCCTGTAGTTTCCACTAGCTGGTTCTCTGTGCCCTTGAGCAAAGCAGAACTAAATCCCTTTCCTTCTCTGTGACTGCTTCAATCCTAAACTTTCTTTGGTTCAGTGTGACATCTTAGTTTATTCCATCTTTCTTTGTGATTTTCTGACTCTTACCACACTTACCTGGAGGTCCCTGAGCTGCTAAGCATCCCTCTAAAATGAGTCATCCAGAGTGGACCCATGTTCCACATGTGCTTAAGCCTGCCAGACTCCCAAGGGCCTCTTTGCCCCTTTGATCTCTATGCAGTAAAGCCTGTGGTTCATTGTCAACTTCAAGTCAACTGAAACTTTCAGAAATTTTCTACATGAGCAACTAATTAGGGCCATCTACCTCAACTGAATATTAATTCTTTGAATCCAAAGCAGGATCTACACATTTCTAGCAAGCTGTGGTTTAGCTTCTGGCTTCTATATTATTCCTTACTAAGAATATTCGAGTCTATAAAAATCATTTTTAATCTTGATTCCACCCAGTAATATTTACCTCTTTTGAAGTTTATTTTTCCTTCCCAGATTGATAAGCTTCTTTTTCTTCTTTACTCACTTGCAAAATACCATTTTAAGGGCAAGGGCTAAAAATAAGCATGTAGTCTGTGATGTCCCAAGTATGCTTTTTCTCAGGGGATTTTACTATACAATATTTCTTTGAACACCCCCTCTTTATTTACCACAACCCTGTGGTAAGCAACATAAGCATTCCTTAGGAAAGAGAGGAAATAGCTACATAGGAAGGACCCAGCCTTGAATTTCCTAAACTTGAGTTATAGCACTCACCCACCATCAGGGACAAGTAAAAACAACATGAAGACAAAAACTAAAGAGAGGAAGTTTTCCCAAAAGAGGGAAAAAAAGTGGTGTGAAAGATTGAAGGACCTGGTATCAATTAGTGTTTACACTCCATTGACAAACTGCAAGTCTATAGAACAACAGGTAGGATTTCTGACTGGCTACTCCAGTATTAATGCCACATTATGTCTGGCCCATTTACCTGGAATGTGACTTCAAGAAAAATCCTGAATGGTGGAACCAGGCTCCAAGGAGAACTAGCCAGCTGTGAATTTCAGTGACTCTAATCATTACCACTATTCCACAGCATCCTCCCTGGAGCTCAGTTCCATACCTACAAGGTGAAAGACTTTAACCTGATTTGGTGACATTGAGTCTTCCTCAGTTCAATATTTTTGATATGTAGATAAGCTGACACAATGTGAAGGGGCCTCATTATGTTCATGCCCAGAGCCTCTCTCTTGCTCAACAATTCTTTCATTTATCTCACAATGAATTCCTGCTTTCTCCACACTCCTCAGGCACTGCTTTACCCTGCTCCACTTGCTGTCCACTTCTGCACACTCCCTGTATTCCTGGGAAACCTGCTGAGGTCTACCTGATGGCAAAGAGCAATGGTGTGGAAGCCCTGCAGGCCCGAATGCATGTGACTTGCACTACTTTCTGCCACGGGACCTAGCTGTCTCTCAACTTCTTAAATACCCCATTTATTCATATAAAATAGGGATGCTAAGTGTTACAGAACTACTATGAGCCTATGGGAACAAAAGGGTGTAACGGGTTAAATATGTTACTCAACACATAGAAAACACTTAAACAGAAGTAAAGAAACAAGCAAACAAACAAATAAATAAAACTTGACATTTTTCTACTGAGACATCTCTGTTTCTTTTCATCCTCTGGTCTCAGAGGAACAAGTGTCTGTACTCTTCTTCCAAGGCTCTCACAGCTATTGGCTTAAAACAACGAAGAGGAATTACAGGTTCCTGCAACTGCAAGTTCAAAGCGAGGTAAAACTTCAGCAGCTCAACAATGCCATGAAGACTTGGATTCTGTCCCTCTTCTCTGCCCATAGGGATAACAGCATCAGCCTCAGGGCAGGCTCCTCAGGGTCCCAAGATGGCTGCAGCAGTTCTAGGGCCATTTCTCTCTCTTCACATTCAAGCCCAGAATGAGGGCTGCTTACTGAATTTCACTCAAAAGAGCAAAGAACATTTTTTTTCAAAAGTCTGAAGAAAGTCCTTCTCAAATCTCAGGGGTCTAAATTGGATTAAGGGATGGGCATTGGCTTAGTGGTTAAGGCGTGGGTTTGGATGCTCGCATCCCACACTGAAGTACCTAGGTTCAAGTTCCAGGTCCACTCCCGATTCCAACCTACTGTTCATGGCACCATCAGAGCCATCAGGTAATAGCTCAGGTAGATAGGTCCTTGCCACCACCTAGGAGACCTGGGTTGAGTTCCCAATTCTGGCTCCTGGCTTTGACCTGTCCCAGCCCTAGCCATTATGGACATGTGGGGAGTTAACCAGTAGATGGGAGCTCGCTCGCTCTCTCTCTCTCTCTCTCTCTGCCTCTCAAATTATAAATAAATAAATAAATAAATAGGATGAGATGCCTTCCCTATACTAGTAACTATGGTCAAGCAATAAATCTATGCTATCTTGGACTTGAATCCCATATTCCATTTGTAGAAACAAGGTGGTATGAAATTTTCACAATGCATGTAGGATTTGAGATTTCCAGGCTGTACTGTCCAGTTGTATAGTTACAGGAGGCACAATGCATATAGATTTCTATTCTGAAACTATGTTCTATGCCACTCACATAAAATGCAATGAGAATAGGGCTCTTGGAGTCATTTACCTGATAGACTTGGACTTGGAAAGAGGAGTACTCAAAATTAAGGATAATTACCACAAAAGGGATTTTAGATATGGTTTAGATCATCACAGTGTCCACTCCACCATATACATTTGAACCTATCTCTTCCTTCTTCCTCTGGAGCTTCCCCCAGTTAATTTGTCCTTTTTCTTGAATCAGCAATAGTGCCTTCCTTATAAGGTCACTTGCCTAGGATCATTCTTCTTCATCTAAAATTGAAAAACAAATATAAACATAAAATTAAGTTAAAATTAAAAAAGAAGCTTCCCCAAACCTGCTATTGAACAAAGTTACCTCCTTTTCCCTAACAGTTATTGTAAGCAGTCCTGCATTCATTTTCTCAACTCGGCAATCTTGCTTATGCCTCAACTATGCTAATGCATCTGCCCTACGAAAGAGTCATTTTTCTGTAAACAAATCTAATACTATTGGCCAGTACTGATTTCTCTGAATACTAGATCCTCCTTCTTCAAACCATTCCCGCCTTTTATCCACTTACTTAGTCAGTATTTATTGTCTGCTTTCCATGTACACAAACCAAATTAGATATGGAGAATACAAATATTAAAAGAATTTGGTCCTTGGCCTCAAGGAGGGTATAAAAACTGACATGAAAATATAACCAGTATAACAAGAGGAGGGAGGCAGGTGAGAAGGAGAAAGCATCTAAATCTACTATAAGTCAGAGAAACTTCACAAAGAGGCAACGTGGGGGCTATTGTAAAGAAAAAGTAAGGCATTTCCACTTGGAATATGTCAGAGGCACATGGAACAGCAGGGTACAGACAACTACAAGTGGCTTACTGAGGGCAAAAGGAGATTTGTAGAAAGTGTAGGGAAGGAGCAAGAGATGAGGTGGTTTAAGAAGGGAGGAGGCAGATCAGTGAAGGATTTGGATACTTGACATGGTCATGGGCAGAATTCAAGAAGTATTCAAAGCCATTTGATGGCATGATCAGATCTGTGTTTTACAAAGATCTTCTGGCTGGAATTGTGCAGATGGATACAGGCTGGCAGGTGTCCAGAAACTGGAGGACAAATAAGAAGGGGCTCATGGTTCAAATGAATTATTAATTTCTAAATTACAACCATGGCAGTAGGCATAAGAAAGCAAAAACAAATGCAAAAGATACACAGGAAATAAAAATTCAGAGTATTTCATATGGAAAAGAAAGGACAAGTAGAAAACGATGAATAGGGAGGAGGGAAATTCTATAAAGTCAAATACAGCAGACAGGTTAGTGAAGAAAAGGACACGGGATGCCCTACTTTTCTCCTTACTTTTAAGGACAGTTCTCTCTCATTTTGGGTCTTTTTGCCCTCGCTCCTCCACAGATGCGCTCCTCAGTGATGAAGCTGGGGCAGACATATCCCCACATGTTCTCTTTCACAATGCCATCTCACCTCACGGCTTCTGCAATCCCAGCTAGGCCATCAGCCTCAGATCTGCACACTTAAGTCTGACCTTTTCACAAACACCAGTGCCAATTTTCAGTTACTTCCTCAGCATCTCTATTTGGGTGCCCAGCTATGCATCGTTAATATGACTGAAATCATCATTCTACATACAAATTTATGTCTTCTTGTATTTCCTAATGTGTTGGAGACAATGCTATCCTGCTTACTGGACTGTTTGCTGTCACATTTGCATCCCTATTATTTCATTTGTTCACTCACCAAATATTGGGCACCTAAACTGGCCCTGAATAGTTCTATGTACTCAGGATATGGTGGTGATCTAACCAAAGCTCTTTCCCATACAGTACTTTATTCACAAGGGACTATAAATTGTATCATATCAGGTAAGTAAAATTATTTAAAATAAAACAGGATACAAAGGACAAGAGCGACTTGCTTTCCACATTCAATCAGTTGTTAAAGTCTTTCCCTTCACTTCTGGTGTCTCTGGCATTTATCCTCCCTCCCCTGTTCCTATACTGTCCAGTTTCTGCCTTCAATGCTCCTCACATGACAAATGGCAACAGTGTCTTGGTTGAGCCAAATTCACTTGGAAAAAATGGACTGAGCCCTTACTTCATGATGGGTACTGCTAGACTTGATACAGATTCCAAAATGAACTATAATACTTTGCAATCTGGCAAGAGTGAGGAAATGAACATCCTAATCACTTAGATACAGAACAATGTTGATAAGCTCCAAAAATTACATTCAACCAGCCATGGAAATTCACAAGATGGGGAGGTTGTGCAGGAAATTCAGTTGAGTTAGTGGTATTCACAGTGCTGCCTGAAGGGTGTATTAGGCTTCTAAGTTTGGGTTTGGGGAGGCAAATACATTCCAGGTAGATGAATGAATGGGGAAATATGAGGGGGTAGAAAAAGGTTCAGATAATAGCGGCTGGTGGCCATTGGAAGCTTAGGACACTCACTGGTAGAGGAATTTATATCTAATTCATTTGATAACAGAAATTCATAATTTTTTCCTCTTTTCTTTGGTACATGCATGATCATTTTACTTATTAATATATTTAGTTAATATTGGCAATTTAGTAAGAAGGTACTATCCAAGGTAAATATATGGGAATGGAACCTTATGTGGGTAAGCAAACCCTCATAGATAGTGGTATGAATGTATTAACATCTGCAAAATTAGGTTTCAAAGTTTTGGAATATTTGGAGTTTATAATTTTTTATTATTAAAGACTTCAGTGAGCCAACTTACAAATTTCTATTTCTGTTAACTTTTGACAAGGAACACAAAGAAAAAATGTGTTCCTTTTTGCATGCTTCAAAATTCTGTCAATTGACAGTTAATGAAGCACAACAAATTTGAATTCAAAATTTTTATAGAATATCTCCAGACCTTAGTGAATGTCTGACTAAAATGCTATAAATAGCAAATATTTCCCATGTTAATGGATTGGAAAAATTAATATTAACAAAATATTCATACTACTCAAAACAATTTTCAGATAAAAATGCAATCCCAATTAAAATATCAATGAAATTTTCACAGAATTAGATAATACAATCCTAAAATTCATATTGAAACACAAAACACAGCAAATAGCCAAAGCAATCTTGAACAACAAAATCAAAGCTGGAGGCATTACAATACCATATTACAAAACATGTTACAAGACTATTGTAACTAAAACAGTAAAGTACGGGCATAAAAATAAACACAGAGACCAGTTGAACAAAATAGAGACCGCAGAAATAAATCCACATGCCTACAAGCAATTAATCTAACAAAGGTGCCAAAAGCCCTCCCTGGAGAAATGACAGTCTCTTCAACAAATGGTGTTGAAGTAACTGGATTTGCACACAGAGAAGTTTGAAATAAGACCCTTACCTTACATCCTTTACAAAAATCAACTTAAGGCTGGTGCCGCAGCTCAATAGGTTAATCCTCCGCCTGCGGTGCCGGCACCCTGGGTTCTAGTCCCAGTCGGGGCGGCGGATTCTGTCCCAGACGCTCCTCTTCCAGTCCAGCTCTCTGCTGTGGCCCGGGAGTGTAGTGGAGGATGGCCCAAGTGCTTGGGCCCTGCACCCACATGGGAGACTAGGAGGAAGCACCTGGATCCTGGCTTCAGATCGGCGCAGAGCGCTGGCTGCAGCGACCATTTTGGGGGGTGAACCAACGGAAGGAAGACCTTTCTGTCTCTCTCTCTCACTGTCTAACTCTGCCTGTCAAAAAAAAAAGAAAAAAAAAGGAGGAGGAGGAGGAGGACCAAATCAACTTAAAATGTATCCAAGATTTAAAGATTTAAATAGAAGACCCAAAACTATGAGGGTACCAGAGGAAAATAGATGGGAAACATTCTAATATGTTGGCATAGGCAACAATTTTTGGGGGGATAGGACCCCCAAAGCACAGGCAATAAAAGCAAAAATAAACAAATGCTATTCACCTATTCACTCCCTTGACTTGCGTCCTCTGGTCTGCTTTAACAAAAACCAGGAGGAAAAGAAAGCCAGGCATCAGAAGCAATGTAAAGCAGGCCTATTAACGGCTGTTCCATACAGTGATCTGCCCTCAGAGACCCAACAGGCCAGTCCACTGCAGTGGCTTTCAATGTGGAAAGCCTGGGCTTCAGCAGAAGTCAGCTTATGAAGAGCCCTGGCAGCTCTGCCAGCCAAGAGTTGGATCACTGGAAATGGAACTGCCCTGGAGTCGAAGGACTTCAGGTCAAAGCCACAGACCTTGCTGGCTTTAAGCTGAAAAGCCCTTCACTCGGCCCAGCTTCCAATGTAACCACTGCTGCTGAGAGGAGATGGCCAAGTAGGGTCAGTAACATTGCAGGCAGAGCTGTAGATTTCCTGCTAGAGATGCCACTTGCCTTTACCTGGCCAGCTCTCCTCCCAGGCCAGCTAAGTAATGGAAGTCAACAGGGTGCCTTCCCAAGGAGGTTCACACCTCCCTTAGAATGTACCCTATGTAAAGAAATAGACAGGTCTGGGCCTCATAACTTACAAGGCCTAAAGCCCACCAGATTATTATCAAGCCCCTTCTGTCAGTTTCTGTTTGCCTCTCAATCAGAAAATTTAGTTGTGGCTTAGATAGCACCTTTCTTAGGTCCTCTAATAATGACTCTGTCCTTTGTATCTAACCCACTCCTGGGCCTCATTCCTTTGTAATCATAGCCTTTACTCTTACATCAATGGCTCTGTTTTTGACCTGTGTGTATTGATAGTCCTCCCCCACACTTAATGTTGTATGATTGCTCAGAATTTCTCTACAGACAAACCCCTCTACCTGCAAAAGTTGAGTGGTCTTTCTCCCAATCTTGGTTGGGATCAGCTTTAAACCACATCCATCAAAGAGTCCTCACAAGGGTCCAGAGTCCCCCTCATTTCCTCTCCTCTATGAAATCCTTTCATTACCTGGTTAATGCTACTCTTAGGATCACTGGTTGCTAGTCTCACCCTGACTTTTATACTACAGTGTCTAAGTGTTTACAGGAGTTGATAATGGAATGAACCAAGGCATTCAGCAACCAGGCAGTCAACCAAATGCTGCTACAGGGATATACTTGGCTCTCCACCCAAGAGACAGTGGCTTGAGACATCGCCCCATGCCAGTGAAGAGTACCTCGTTACCCCATGTCAGCAGGAAGTAGCTCTAAAGACAGATCATCATCACTCTACCCCTCCTGGACTTTTGGCATTAATGTAATCCCATACAACTCCTGCTTTATAAAAAACAAAAGGGGGGAGTGTTAGGAAAACGGCGCAGTCTTATCTAT